TGAGAGGAGGCTTGGCTGGATGGAGGGTATTTCAATTCTGACTTCTTTCTCTTCTATATGCTTTGTTTCAAATGTGCCACAGCTCGTCATTTTCACCTCCATTCAGAAAAGTTCATAGAAAGTCCGGGAAAAAATAATTTTCTCTAAATATATGTCATTTATCTCACCACATTTTGCTGTGAAATCACAGGACTTAGCACATTCTTCTGATACAGCATACGTGTGCATCTACATATGTGTTTTTAAATGGAGTTATATTACACATGGTGATAATGATTCCCCAAAGAACCATATACTAACATAATCCCCATTGCCAGGCATGAGAAACCTTTCTTCAAGTTGTTGGTCACGGGAGATAAAGGGATTCTGCAAATAATATAATCTATTGCAATTGCCCTTGGTTGCTTTACAGATCTTGAAGGTAAGAAGCTATTTCTGAAGACATCAAATATTTCTGATACAAGACTTATAAGAATGGAGCTGAAACTGACCCGGAAGCTGCCTCCTTGAGGACTAGCTTTCATAGTATCTGATGCCCCTAGGCCTTTTTATGCCAGGGAATAAAAATAAAGGTCCCAACCCAGCTGTAGAGCCTCCAAACACAGCAATGACTCAACTTGGAAATAGAACTGTGGTGTAAGAGTGGCACTTTTATCTTGGGAGTAGCCAGAAGATGGCTAATTTGACTTAAAGTCCACTCAAGACAAGAGGATTTGTGTCTGGTACTAGGAAACTAGTCAACTACTGGTGAGTGGGTGTATCCTTATGCCTATAGATAATTGTAGCACTCATGTCTCATCAAAAAAAATTTTGATGGAGACACTAGATTTATTGTGTCCTATGTATGATAGGGAAGCTGATCCCATAAAACCCCAACAACACAGTCTTCTAAACAAGACCTCCATAGTGACAACGATAGTTGATATGTCAACATGGACAAGAATAATTTCACAAATTACCAGCCTTAGATGAAAAGTTGGAAGAAATTAATTGCTGCTCAGAGGGGGAGAATCATCCAGTGCCAACAGTACACATGAACACCACTAAATAGACTTTAACACACCAAGTGTGTGTGTGTGTGTGTGTGTTTGTGTGTGTGTGTGTGTGTGTGTGTGTGTGTGTGTGTGTGTGTGTGTGTGTGTGTGAATAATAATTAAAGAAGGTAAGGTTATGAATTTGAGAGAGAGATTGTCTGGAGACACAGAAGGAGGGGGAGAAGAGAGAATTGGAAGTTATATAAATACAATATGAAACTAAAGTAAAAATTTAAATGTAAAAAGTTGGAGATAATTTTGGAGGAATTAAATAATGAAATCATTACTGGGAGAATTGTTTTTTTTTTCTCTACACCAATATCATATTAAGGTCATTTATTTACAATATTCCTTAACTGCCAGACAAAAAAAGCTTGAAATAGAAGGTAAGCAAAAGTGAGTTTAAATATTGAACCCTGATCTTAAATGTCTAAGAGTCAGTCATTCTTCATGTAGTAATTCATTAGTTTGTATTACTGATGTGCACACAAAATCTCCTTCGCATTACAAATACTTTGAAGTGAGCTCTGGCATTCTTTCATTGCACCATTGTTTCTGGTTCATTCCCCATGTAATATCATTAAGGCTACCATAAAGGATCACAAATGTAACTAGATTTTGTATAACTTCATAATTATCAACTTCTACAAATAATGAAAAACTCAGTGCTACTCTTTCTTCAAAATAAGAAAACCTATTCAGTATAAATTTAGTGGGCTTCTTGTTATTGTTGTTGTTCATTGTAGCTGAAAACACCATAAACAAATAAGGAAGGTATTAAAACCAATAAAGTTATTTCAGATTTATGTGTCATAATATATATCACATAATGTTGAATTTCACGATAAAACCGATGACATTTCACAAACTACTGTGGCCATGGCCCGTGGTCTGGAAGCACTTTGTGCTTCACAGGCCCAGTGGGCACAGCTGGTTATGATACTAAATGGTCAGCAGTTGTGCCAGTGCTGAATGCTTCTCCTACCACTAGAGATCACAGGTGCTGACCTGGCGATGGTGGTACACATGGGTTATCCTATCTTTTAGAGGGCTAAGGAAGCACAGTTGTGAATTCATGTCCAGCTTGGGTAACATAGCAAGATCTATTTCTAGTCAGGATGAAAAGGAGCATAAATGCTGCATGTGAGAGAATCTTTTCCACTTTATTGGAAGGACAGTATATTCTCTTCTTCTGACCCCATACCTACATATTAGTACATACCCTTTGCCTGTCTAAAACATAAAGCCAGAAGCTCAGAGCATTTGAAGAGTCCACAGCTTACCTTTGGTTTGGGTAATTTCTGGGTCTAGCACAGATTCTTCCAGGAGTCATTTCACTTCATCTCCTCACACTACCTTTGCTTCTCAGCCGCACTGTACACACAGCGAACAAAGTGATACTCTGTCTTTTATTGCTTTGTGGGAAATCACTCTATCTCTGCATGACTTGCCTCAAGCTTCATACCATGTCACCCACTATCCCTCCGAACTCGTCTACTTTCTTTCTACTTGCTCCAGCCATAGAAAACTCTTTGATATTTACAAAGCCTCTAAGCAGTTTCTCATCTCAAGGCCTTGCTTCTAGCTGGTCTTGTGTGTAAAGAAGCACTAAGAATGGCTCTTTCTCAGACATCATCATGGTAAATTTCCTGGCATTCTTCAGAATGCAACTGCAATTTCATTTCCTCACTGAGATCTGCTCTCATAGTCCTATTCAATGCTTGTACTTGAAGATACTCAGCCTTCACGACTGCCATTCACATTCTACTCTGCTATTTTTCTTTTCCTAGAGTACAGTGTCTTTGTACTGGGTATACTACGTACACTATTAATCTATGTAGCTTGCCATGCTATGGTCAGAAATCACTTCAACCAGGCACTCACATGTTATTTCCATGAATTGACTGAAGCTCTTCAGTGACTTGTGATTTGTGAGGAGTCCATGTTGCATTGCCTTTGTTCAGACAGAAGAGAACAGCAGCTCTGAACAGCAGTGTCTGCTTGGAAATAGCACTTACTATAATCACTAACATTTCATTATCTAAAAACAACTCTATAACTGAATCAACATAGGAAAGGAAGTGTGTTTTTCCAGCACAGGAGTAGCAGCTACTGGTTACTGGTTATAGTCCATTGTCTGTCCTAGAATCTTGAGGGCAAGCCACTTCAACTTTTTTTTTCCCTTGATAAATATTTGATACCTAGAACAAAGCCTTGCATATAGTAACCGTTAGTGAGTGAAAAAAATACTGTTTATCATGCAGCTTTGTATTTCTATAGCCACTTAAAGTTTTCTAAAGCTACTGTGGTTAAAATGGTATTTCTCATCTTGAAAGGGGAAAAAGGTTATGATGGCCTAAAAAAAAATCTTACAGGTTTTGACTTGGCTTCCAGTTCAGATATGGGAGTATTGATGATAATAAATAACATTCTGATGGACAAAGAACTGATATTGACCTGATATTGAACTGATATATGTAGCTTTATAATTTGCTGTGTGGTCTCAGATAACCTGTCTCTCACTAGTAGAATACACAACAGAATTGGCTATCTCAGGGACTATTGAAATAGTCTATTGAATAGACATCTAGTCTAGGCAAATAATGTATTTTTCTTTAAATTTCTTTTTCTCAGCACATTACTAAGTTTATCTTAGGAGGACATCATAGTATTAATGTCCTTGAGAATTAAAGAAGGGAGATGTCTTCTAAAAATTTTTTATCCTCCACCATGGATGGTGTTTGGCAAAGTGACATACAAGGATCTGTGGCAGCCATGTTCTGACCTTGTGATCACAAGCATAAGGAAAAAGACAAACACATGGTGAAGAACAGGTACAATGATAGTTGTTTTCCAAAAATTGAGGTGCCAGCCCAGTCTTGCAGTGGATGAGCTATAGAAACTTTTGTTAGTGAACAATACAGACTCTCATGCAGTAGTATTGGACACTGTTGTCTTCATTCTGAGCTGAATACATCTGAATGGAACACTCCAGGGGAATCATCATCAAACAAACAAATAAACAAAAACCCGCATGATAGTAAGCAATCTTGTGAAATATGAGAAATTGCAGATCAAAAGCATTACTTTGGGATATTGGTAGTGCATTTAATTACTCAAAATATAAAAACATAATTTGGTTTGCCTAAATACAGGCAGGAAAAAATATTAGAAAATAAGCTGAGTTTTACTTAAAACTGTTCTGGAGAAGTAATTTGAATGATTTTGTTATTTGTAAACCAGATGTTCTAAAAATTACATGCACTTAGTTATAAATCATAGAATCCAATTTTGTTGTTTTATCATTGCATTTCCTGGAAAACACAAAATACAAGAAAGCTTTGAAATGACTTAACATGGGTTTGAGGCTTAATTTAACTCCATAATTCCAAAGCCTGTGGGACCTAACTTTTGTTACAACTACCAATCAATATGTGACTCTGGATATTATGAATCACCCCAAAAGGGGGTGGGCACAGGTCTGTTGTAACACAGAGCTGTGGTGGGTTGCAGGAGGATTTGCAAACCTGTTGAAGCAGCTTTTTTCCTTTGGAAGGATGAATAATTTGAGAACACAAAGGAATTGCTCCATGTTCTCCATGAGTATAAATACAATTGGTCAATTATTCTCACTTAAAGTGTTTCTTGCCTCATAAAGTAAGAAATAAGGACATAAGGACAGGAAAGCTGCTTCTGCCATGACCACTCAACTCTAAACCTGAACTAAAGTGGTCCCCTTCCTGCATCCCTAGCTTTAGGATGCACTCTCGGCTATTACAGTTCCTGACTCTGGTGAAAGAACAGAATCTTGCACTGATGACTCGGGGAAGAAGAAAAAATAATTTTGAAAACCTTAGTAGTGAGTCTTAGCCTTCTTATCTTGGAGGCAAATAAGATCTCATGGAATTTGCATAATGTCTGCTCAACAAAATTTGTTCTCAAGTCTATGTCTGGAAACAGGTGAAATGAAAGACTAAGCATTTCCAAATTTTAGCTGTGATAACAAAATGATGCATCTTCCTAAATATAGAATAAGAGATGCCTACACTTACCATGCTAGTCCCATGGACCCTTCCTGGAATCTCACACTGCCCTCAGAGCACCACATCCTCAGAGTCAACTACATGACCTCCTGTCAGAAGGGTGGTAAGAAATTGTGGGGTCCTCATCAGGAATGAGATATCTTTCAGGTAGGTCTGTCATTAAAACCAGTTTGCAACCTTTGTTGTGGGACATGCTCCTTAGCTTGCATGGGGTAGGCAGCCAGCACCCAAGTTCTCCACTGAGTGTCACTTCTTGAATTCTCCTGTTCACAGGTCCCAGCAGTCCCCCTTGTGTGTTTTTGAGTTGCTACACAGATTATGAGCATCTCGGGTTTCGCTTATGCTCCAAACCTGACCTGTTTACACTCACCCAGTGCTTGGAATTTGGTAGTTACTTACTGTGGCATAATTAATCTTATCCTTTGATGACAGTGAAGATAAAGATGAATCCTCCTCTTCAGTGGCCAGAAGGAAAACATTCATGGGTATTGTAGAAATACATGTCCATACAAAGAGACTTCCACTCATTCTCTGCATGCTCAGGTCAACATTCTCCTGGGAATTGTATTCCTAGAGCTTCTCAGAGGCTGTAAGAGCACACACACAATATTCCTGATTTGAGAAACACTGTAGAAATAGAAATTTTTTTCTCCTTTCTGAAATTCAACTTAGTTTTCCCCCCTTTCATTCCTGTTATAAGCTGGACCTGACATTGTCTAGTCTCTGTGAAATGTCACATTTGGGGAAATAGCTCAACAATCAAAAAGTAATTAAAAGCAATCCCATTCTTTACTGACATTTCTTGAAGAAGGGCCATGGGATTTAATACATAATTCATATCAATGTCCTCACACTCTGCCACTGCCCCCAAACCTTTTTCATCCACACTTTATAATCTATTCTCAGCAAATCTTGCAGAAGCACATTTCATATGAATCTTTCCTACCTTTCTCCTCTTCAATTTTCAATTTTATTTTCCTTAAGTGTAGATAAATGGTCCCCTGATTTCTCTCATTGTAATATCCCTCCACACTATAAGAACTGAGAATTTCTCTGAGAGGCTTAAAAGGTGATACACATATTTTGCACACACACACACACACACACACACACACACACACAGAGAGAGAG